CAATAGCATCAGTGGCATCAAGACTAGCAACATTAATAACACCATCATCGTCATTACCATTATCAGTGACAACAGAAAAACTGTCTCCAACATCATCGTCATTAATATCATCATCGGTACAAAAATTATCTTCAGCCTTACCGTCACAAATATTATCAGCAGAAACAGCATTGGCACCGACAACCTCGTCGTCAATAGTTTCACCTACTCTAACGTTGTCACTTAAACCATTGTCGTTAATGGCATCAAGAGTAGCAACATTAATAAAACCATTATCGTCATTAGCATTATCAGTGACAGCAGAAAAACCTTCTCCAAAATCATCGTCATCACTATTATCATGTGTAGAAAATTTATCTTCAGCCTCACCGTCACAAATAGCATCATCAGAAACAGCATTGGCACCAACAACTTCGTCGTCAATGGTTTCACCAGCTCGAACGTTGTCACTTAAACCATTGTCGTCATTAGCATCAGTGGCATCAAGAGAAGCAACATTAATAACACCATCATCGTCATTAGCATTATCAGTGGCAGAAGAAAAACTTTCTCGAAAATCATCGTCATCACTATTATCATCTGTACAAAAATTATCTTCATCCTCACCGTCACAAATGGTATCATCAGAAACAGCATTGGCATCGACAACCTCGTCTTCAATAGTTTCACCAGCTCCAACGTTGTCACTTAAACCATTGTCGTCGATAGCATCAGTGGCATCAAGAGTAACAAAGTTAATAACACCATCATTGTCATTAGCATTATCTGTGGCAGCAGAAATACTTTCTCCAACATCATCGTCATTAATATTATCATCGGTACAAAAATTATCTTCAGTCTCACCGTCACAATTTCAGAAGCTGGTAATTTTTCTTATCTACGCACTTTACATGTAACTATACATTTTTCCCGTTTTTCAGTGCTTTTTTTGGTTCATGAACCTCGATGCAATTTTTTTCGTCTTAGGCAAATGATACTATTTTAGAGTTCGGGAGCCTAAATATTACCGGCTACAATTCCTTGGAGGCTTGTAGGTAGTTTCAACGACTAAATTTAAAATACGTCTTTTAATGTAAATGTATAACGAAAAAGCAGCTGTCATGTAAGCGCAAAAAATATCCACACAAAGACGATAACCCAGATTTTTTTGTCGGGGATCTTTTCCTTTTTTTCTTTTAATGGTAAAAGCCTTACTCTCAGAGGACCATTTGAAACTTATATATAGACAAAAATTTGATCAAACGAAAATATCCTATGCGGTATTACTTTTTTTAATAGCTGTTGCTTTTAAATCGCAGGCGCCTGTTAATGCTGCTTTTGCCAAGTATCCCAATGAATTAATTTACATCTTATTGTGATTATCCTGGGTAACGTTAAAAACCTGAATAATGGGTATTATATGGACCAACAGGAAGCTGCTAATTTGTTTGAAAACTTTACCACTAAACATTAAAGCATGACCCGACAACTTCGTCGTCAATAGTATCACTAGTTCCAACGTTGTCATCTTGATCACTGTCAAAAAAATCTTAGAAGCTGATAATTTTCTCTTATCTATGTATTGTACATGTAATTATACTTTTTTCCGGTTTTTAAGGCTTTTTTGGTTCATAAACATCGCTGCAATTTTCTTCATCTTAGGCAAATGATACTATTTCAAAGTTCAACGGCCTAGATATCACCAACATCAATTCCTTGCAGGTATGTGGTTTCAACGACTAAATTTAAAATCTATTTTTTAATCTAAATGGAAAACGAAAGAGCAGCTGCAATCTTTGAATCGATTTCTGAATGTGGCATAAGATATGAGATGTAAGCGCAAAAAATATCCACGCAAAGACCGGATTTCTCTTCTACCCATGGTTTCAAAGTAATTAGTACCCAGACTATTTTTGTCATTGATCTTTCCCTTTTCTTCTTTTGATGGTAAAAGCCTTACTCTCAAAGGACCATTTGAAACTTATGTATAAAAAAAGATTTGATCAAACGAGAATATCCTATGCGGGATTACTTTTTTTAATAGTTGTTGCTTTTCAGTCACGAGCGCCTGTTAATGCTGCCTTCGCCAAGTATCACAATGAATTAATTTACATCTTATTGCGATTGACCTGGGTAACGTTAAAAAACCTGAATAATGTGTATTTTATGGACCAACAGGCAGCTGCCAATTTGTTTGAAAACTTCACCACTAAACATCAAAGCATGAACCTTGGAGAAGGACAGCCTGAGGTAGAAAAGCTCAGAACGGAGTCCATTTTTAAGGTGGCAGTTGCCCTCGAGAAATTTGTACTTAGGTATGGCAAATACCATTTACGTGAAACAAACCGTTCAAAAAGGATCAGTTACCCTCACCGAAACATGCGTGAGTAGATACATGGTTGTATTTTCAGATTTGTGATAATGATCATTTATTCGGTAACTGAGTGAGCGATTGAG